GGGGGGCCCCGGGGCCGGAGCGGGGAGCCCCTGGCCCCGCTGCTGCAGACAGTGAGTGCGGGCGGGGCGGCTACCACGGCAACCGCATCCCGCATCCTCCGCGCGCCGCGGCCGCGGCCGCACCCTGCCCGGCCCCCCGGCCTGGGGACTGAGCGGGGCTTGTGGATGGGAGCGTGTGCGTGTGTGTGCATGCGTGTGTGTGTGTTGGGGTTGTGTAGTTGTGGACACGGTTGGGGGTGGGGAAGTGTGAGGGGGTTGTAGAGCTATGTGTATTGGTGTGGGGGTTGTGTGTGGGGGTATGTGTGCGCGTGTGTGTGTTGGGGTTGTGTAGTTGTGGACATGGTTGGGGTGGGGAAGTGTGAGGGGGTTATGGAGCTATGTGCATGGGTGCGGGGTTGTGTATGGGGGTATGTGTGTGCGTGTGTGTGTTGGGGTTGTGTACTTGTGGACATGGTTGGGTTGGAGGAGTATGAGGGCATTGTGGATTGATGTGCATGGGTGTGGGGGTTGTGCACATGGGGGTGTGCACGTGCGCTTGAGACTATTTGTGTGTTTGTGTGCTTTGGGGCTGTGTGGGGGGCTGGGTGTATACAATATTTGTGTGGGGGGACGGTTGAGTAGTTGTGTGCAGGGGCGGGGGGCTGGGTGCACAGTGTGCGCGCAAAAGTGTGTGTTGGGGTTATGTAGTTGTGTGCATGGGGGTGTTGCACGCACGGTCTATTTGTGTGTGTGTGTGTTGGGGTGACTTAGTTGTGTGCATGGGGTGTGTGGGATGAGGTTGTGTGTGTGCGTGTGGTAGGGGCTGTGTACGTGGTGCGAGGGGGTTGTATGTCCGTGTAAAGGGGCCTGAGCTGGAGGTTGTGTACACAGTGTGTGTGTCAATGAGACGCGGGGGTGTGCGGGGACTTGTGTAGTGTGCATGTGGGCTACAATATTGTGTGTGTGTGTGGCAGAGGCAGTGTGCATGAGGGTTGTGTACATGGTGTGTGCGCGTGCGTGCGTGTCCCCGTCTCCTCCAGTCCCGGCGGTGCCAAGCCTGTGGCTAGCTCGGGGCAGCGGTAATTGAAAGGAAACTTTAATTGCCCCGGAGGGGGGCGGGGGGGGCGGGGGGCTGGCAGGGCGCCTGCGACGGCCTGGCACCACCTTCCCCGCACCCTGCCGGTGCCCCGCACTCCCGGAGCGCAGCCCCGTCTCCGGGGCCCAGGCTCAGTGCTCTTGGGGGGCAGGGGTTTATTCCCGGGGCTCCCGAGGGTATTGGGGGGCTGTGGTGTGGGAGGCTTGCGGGGGGACTGGGGGTCTCCCAGGGGGACAGGAGGTCTCTGGGGTCTCCTGGCTCTGCAGGGGTG